AAAAAAAGAAAAAATGACAGCAGTAGGCCAGATGCGGGGGCTCATGCCTGTAATCCTAGCACTCTAGAAAGCTGAGGTGTGGATCGCCTGAGCTCAGGAGTTAAAGACCAGCCTTAGCTAGAAGAGACCCTGTCTCTAAAAATAGCTGGCATTGTGTCAGGCACTTGTAGTCCCAGCTACTTGGGAGGCTGAGGCAAGAGGATCACTTGTGCCCATGAGTTTGAGGTTGCTGTGAGCTATGATGCCTTTGCCCTCTACTGAGGGGGACAAAGTGAGACTGCCTCAAAAAAAAAAAAAAATATATATATATATGACAGCAGGCTTTTTTCTTTTTAAAAATTGACAAATTTGATCCTAAAAATCTCTACATAGAATGCAAAGGAACCAGAATCAGTAAAATGATTTTTGTTCTTTTTTGTTGTTTTTTGAGACAGAGTCTCACTATGTCACCCTTGGTAGAGTGCAATGGTGTCACAGCTCACAGCAACCTCTAACAATTGGGCTTAAGTGATTCTCTTGCCTTGGCCTCCCTAGTAGCTGGGACTACAGGTGCCTGCTACAACACCTGGCCATTTTTTGGTTGTACTTGTCATTGTCGTTTGGCAGGCCCGGGCTGGATTTGAACCTGCCATTTCTTGTGTAGTGACTGGTGCCCTAGCCTCTGAGGTATATGCGCTGAGCCAGTAAAATGATATTTGAAATAGAAAAAGGTGGTGGACTTCTACTACCTGATTTCAAAACTTATAAAGCTACAGTAATGAAAACTGTGATATTGGCATAGAGATGTAGGTAAATGGAATGGAAAAGATAGTTAAGAAATAAATCCTTGCATTATGGTCAATTGATTTTCAAAATAGTAGTGAAGTAATTCAAAGAGGGAAAGGTAATTTTTCCAACAAATGACATAGGAAGAAAAAGATAACTTTGGACCTTACTTTATACTGTACACAAAATTAATTTAAATGGATAATGGACCTAAAAGTTTAAATTCCAGAAGCAAGGAGGAGAAAAATCTTTTAGTGTTGAGTTTAGCACCAAGTGCTTGTCTAATGAAAAATTTAATAATTGGACTTAATAGAAATTTTAAACTTTTGGGCAGCTCCTGTGTCTCAGTGGGTAGGGTGCTGGCCCCATACACCAAGGGTGGCAGGTTTGAACCTGGCCCCGGCCAGCTAAAACAGCAGTGGCAACTGCAACAAAAAATAGCTGGAGGTTGTGGTGGGTGCCTGTGGTCCTAGCTATTCTGGAGGCTAAGACAAGAGAATCACCTAAGCCCAGGAGTTGGAGGTTGCTGTGAGCTGTGACACCACCGCACTCTACCAAGGGCAACAAAGTGAGACTGTCTCTTAAAAAAGAAAAAAAGGCTCAGCGCCTATAGCTCAACCGGCTAAGGCGCCAGCCACGTACACCTAAGGTGGCGGGTT